CGGGGGGGTCCCTATACCCGGGTTTCACCCCCTTCATCCGCCTCATTCCACTCATGCCCGGGCGGGGGTCCCTTGACCCCCGTTTCACCCCCTTCATCCGCCTCATTATGCTCATGCCCGGGTCCCCCCCTATACCCCGGTTTCATCGTGTTCATCCGCCTCATTTCACTCATGCCCGGGCGGGAGGGTCCCTATACCCGGGTTTCACCCCCTTCATCCGCCTCATTCCACTCATGCCCGGGCGGGGGGGTCCCTATACCCGGGTTTCACCCCCTTCATCCGCCACATTCCACTCATTCCCCATCTTGCATCAGCTTTCAGAGGTAAAGTTGAAGTTGAAGGAAAGGAGGAGAGAGATGGCGTCCTTCAGGGGCAGGCCGGAGAGCAATGCCAATGGTGGTTTAGGTTGATTCGCAGCGTCTTTCACGATAGCCACCCCCCCCCGGTCCCCCCAGTTGCTTTGCATGTACAGCTGCTAAGAGCGCAGCCCTGAAGAGAAAGGTCAAAGTATACCAACCAAGAGAAGAACAATGGTGGTTGAGGTTGGGTAGCAGCGTCTTTCACGATAGCCACCCCCCCCCGGTCCCCCCAGTTGCTCTGCATGCAGTGAACATGTCTTCTAAGAAGCAGAAGAGGCCAAATGAGGACCCGGCAGAGGAAGCAGCCGGCAGGATCGACAACCTCGCAGCCCCCCTGTGCCTAATGAGCTTTGTCCTGCTCTTAGACTGCCTGAAGCTCTTCCCTCAGTCCTTTCCTCATCGGGCAGAGCTCATCGCTTCTATCGTGAACACCACCCTGTCGCCAAGCAGCCACGTCGACAGGGTGGTTGTGAAGAACGTCATTGACAAACTGAGGTGTGCTTCAGCAGATCTGTCTTTTCTTCCGGGCGTAAGACGCCCATCAGTTGAGGAGATTGCACGGAGGGAGTCCCTGCTCTTCGTTGCTTTCCCGAAGCCAACAAGGTGCTTTCTGTGTTCCGAGCAGCTCGAGTGGGTACTTGAGGCAAAGCCCAGACGGCCATTCTTCTTTCCTCACGACGGCCCGCCTGGCAAAGGGCTCGTGCAAGAGAAGTTCTGTCCTGGGTGCAAGGCGATCTTCTCTGTCAGCTAATTCTGCCCACCAGCCTCGCAGGCACGGCGGCCGTACGCTGCTGCGCACGACAATAGCGACTGGCTAGAGCTGTCTGGAGAGACGGTCATCAGCAAGCAGCTTCTCCGACACCACGACCACAATCTGTAAGTGCTTCTCCCCAAGTAGATTGCTGAATGCTTCTTAGCCTGCCGAGTCTGTCTTACATTCATCTCAGCATTGCCGCGGCATTGTATATTCCATGCTGATCTAGTTGCGATTGCTCTTAACAGGACATGAAGTTTATTCTGGCTTGCTCAATAAACTATGCTCTAGCTTCTGCGACATTGTTCTCAGGTGCACAATCAAATCTCGTGTCTCTGAACATCGTCGAAACAACAAAAAAGGCAGTTGGGTCGCAGGTCTCAGGTCATCCGTTCTGATAAGGAACATGGCAGGATGGTGGGTCTGTGCAGAATGCCTTACTCCAGGGAGATTGCGTTCGACCTGCATGCACGCACATATCCGTCTCCTGGCCAGTCTGCTGATCTCGGGCTTTGCCCTTGCATTTCTGCAGGTATTACATGCACGCAAGCTTTGTCTCTGCTGTTCATGCCCACAATGCGTCCTTTGGCCTGGATCGCTTCTCGGAAGAGCCTGGGGCAGCTCTCCAGCGGCTGCGGCGGAGGCGGTCGCTCAGAGGGAGTTTGAACAGGGAGCGCTTTGAGCATGCATATTTGCACTTCTGGGCTGTGCGGTTCTGCCAGAAGCATTGCCCATCCTTGCTAGGCACAATAGATTTGCGAGAGCCCATCGACAGCGTCCTCTGCAGTCTCAACGATCCTTTCTGGTGTCACCTGCGTGATGAGGCACTCGAGCACAGCAAGAAGTGTGAGAATGAGCTCTGCGGGAGGTACTGCCACTTTGACGGCAATGCCAAAGTGTTTCGAGCTTGCTGCGCAGAGAAGGATTCAGAGCTTTTCGAGACTGCAATCGGTCGGGTTGTGAAGGGTTGCCCCAGAACCCCCCTGAAAAACAAGAAGCGCTGTCGCCTGCATCATGCAGGAGTGCCAGCTGGAACTGCGGAAGTGCAGGGCGGTGCGGAAAGCCGGCCAGAGAATCCGGAAGGAGTGCGGGGAGGAGAAGGGGAGAGTCGGATTGATGAGCCTGCGGCGGGCGATGTGGAAGAAATCGATCTACGAGATCTCGACAGTGACGGCGAGTACGACGAGGAGGAGGAAGAGCCAGAAGACGAAGGGGGGGGCGACGAAGAGGACGGTGGGGCTTCAGGCGGGGGGGGGTCAGGGCTCCAGGGTTCCGCTGCATCCGCTGAGAAATGGGATCTGGACGCTGGCCCAGTTTCTCTACGGACGCGCAGGACCAGGCAGCTGCTGGAGCAGGATGACTCGCTGTACGAGGCTGAACGAATAGAGATGAGCATGCTAAAAAATGGGGTAAGCTATGTTTCCCTTATCGTAGGAATTCAGAACCCACTTGCATGCAGAACTTGGTGCCACCGCCATGCCAGGTTCAGAGAGCGCTCTGATGTTCCCCTCCTTCTCAGCAAGCAGAGTCCAAATAAACGTCTGCACTTGGACAAATCAACCGCTCAATGTTTAGGGTTCCTGCCAGTAACTTGAAGAACGAGCTGCGTTGCCATGTCTTCAGCTCCTCACCAAGTTCTCCCAGGGCCTGCCTAATCGTGCACGCAAGGTTTTAGGGTCTGCGCACTCAAAGGCCCGAGGATGATCGTGTTGCTCAAACGTTGCATGTTATTGGATCTGGAAGGCCTAATTTCAAGCACAAAGACTGGACCGGAGCATTCTTTCTTGCAAGGATCAGCGTGCTTTAGATACTCTTTATCCCACTCTCTCTATAGGTACCGATCTACTTGGTCAAGTGGAAGGGCTGCCCGGCCGCTGAGAACACGTGGGAGCCTGAGGAGAACGTGACTGTCTTCGGCAGGGGCCTCTTGGACGAGTACCTGCGCTCGCAGCCCCAAGGTGAAGCACCGTTCTCCATCCAGCATCGAAGCTCTTCAAGAATGCAGGGTTTATCGCATCTGGAACATGCACAGCAGCAACGTCAGCCTCAGGGGCCGTGAAGTTGAACTTCCCTTTCTGGGGCAGCATGTCTTTCTTTCCGATGCGACGCTTCTGCATTGATTTGAGCCGACCGTTTGCTCTGAAGTGGCGCCGCAGCTTGCGGCTCTGATGTTCTACAAACACTACGCCGCAGGGGACTTCTACACGCGCGACCGGGAGGACCAGCTACCAGATCCCGCACCGGAATCGGATGCCGAGAAGCCGCCCCGCAAGACCAAGCTGACAGCCTGCACCCCGCGCACGAGCTCGGACGGACGCGGCGTGACAGCCGGCACGCTGGTCGCCTTCTGGGCGTGCGGCTACATGTTCCCCCCCCTGGAGTTGATCCTTTCGGAGTCCACTACGATGGTGAGTAACGTAATGTTCCCTCTGTCGTTCCTACCAAAACATAAGTCCTAGAATCGAGCTCCTTCGTGCTCACTTCAACGCCGAGCTCCGTGTCCAGACGTATAAACGGCTGATTAAAACGAGGAGCGTCCCGAGAAGCTTTTCAGCCCCTTTTTCCGGGCGGCCCCTCTTCGTGTCCTCCTGGCGTGACATCCGTAGCCGCTGTGCCTAGTTCTCAGGTTTTGGACGTCCGTACGATCTTAGATTCGCAGTCAGCCGATGATACGCTTGACCCCCCCTTCCACCAGGTGATACCTTTCGTCTTTCCTCCTGATTGCAGGTGCACCACTACATGATGCTCCTGTTTGCGCATGTGCGCCTGCCCGAGTTCATAGGCATGGACGACATGTGCCACTGGGCACGGTTTGCAGCAAGCGGGGGGCGAACTGCGATGAGCGACAAAACCCGCGAGTTTCACGAAGACACGAAGAAAGTCGGTAAGGCTTTTTCTCGTTCGCAGACGGCACCTCCATTACGTTTGCTCTCAAGTTCGAACTTGCCGCGACGCAGAACGGGCGTTTTCCTCCGTGAACCTTCGGGGGGGGGGGCGAAATGGCCCTGTTTAGAACCCCCCTGAGAGAGACGCTGCTTGTAGAAGGCAGCGCGCGGGCTTCTGTCAAGCATGAACAGGCGTCACACAGGATGAACTCGTAATCACAAGATGCGCGGACACCAACTCCGGCTGCAATACTGTCTTTTCTGTACGCAAAGACAGCTTGTGCGGGACACGTTTTTACGCGATTGCATACATTTCCAGTGCGCCCCACTCTTCACCAATCCCAGACTAGTATACTTAATCTCAGTTTGCGCCCACAGTATATTCATTATGCAGTGCAGTACTGACATCAGCTTCCCTGTGCCCTCTGCAGTCGACAAGTTTCACTTCAAGAAGAACCATGTGGGGCGGTGGTGCGCAGCGAACACGAACCCGTACAAGCATCCAGAACTCGAAACTGCAAACATGTCGGTGTGTGAACAGAGGTTCAAGTGGTGGGGCCAATTCAGAACATCGCTCAGGTAAGAGAACTCGTCGACAGTCAATGGTCCTCAGCAACCTGACAATGTTCATCGTACAATCTCTGGCTAGAAACATATGTTAAGCACAGTCGACTGTAGTCCAAATGCTTCGAAGCCTACATAGAATCGTTTCAGCAAAGTCGAGATCACATCGCAGCCTGGCAGCACTTAGGAGGCTCTGTCTTCTCTGCTTCAACATCTACAAAGCTCTGTCTACTTTGCCTCAGGTACATGTCCGAGCATAGGTTTCGCTTCATGATCCTGGTGATCACGAAGCTCGACCATCTACGACGAGATGCAGAGCAGCAGAGGCAGCTCCGGGCTCTCGAGGCGGCCCATGCAGCGACCCAGAACCGACTCCAAGAAGCTACGTCTACAGCAACTAAGCAGCCCTGTCAGGTAACGAATCTACTTCTCTACGCCTCCTCCATTTCCAACTCTTGGCCGTCTGAAGCATGGGAAGAAGTGTTGCCCGGGTCCGAGTTGTCGGAGTTGTTAGGAGAGCCTTTTTTCCTGGACAGGATCCCAAAAGAAGCGATTAGATTCGGTAGGACCGATTCAGTCCAAGCTTCTTCACGCGAGATGATTTACAAGGAACTTCAGACGAGTCGCACTTGAATTCGTCAGACGGAAAAGTGGCTACGGATCTTCCAGAGCTTTCGCGACTTACATGTTCTTCCGGGCGCGTGATGGCAGAAACGCGTCCAAGGTCATTCCAATGCGGCTCAGATTGTTGATCAGGTCGATGTTCTCCTCCTCGGACTTCGGGATGAGCTTGCTGAAGACCTCTTGCTTCAATTTGCTGATCTGCCCTTTGACCGTCTCCTCCACCGACCCGAAGTAGTGCACCCCGTTGTCGTCCTTTGAAGAGATGTAGTTGAGCACGTCCATGATCTGGTTGTTGTTGCCAAAGGTTCTCTTTCTGGACACCTCGATGCGGCTGATCGTCTCGTCCCGGAATGTTTTGAAGAGCCTCTTTGCGGTTCGGTCGAGGGGGCTCTGCAAAAAGCGCGCTCGATTAAGGCTTCTTCCTAGAAAGTCGCAGATCGGCTTTTAGAGCACGAAAAGCAAATGAAACTGCGACAAAACGGGTTCCTCTGTAGCTGCCTTTCGCGAAGTAGAAACCATCAGAGAGGAAGAAAGCCCCAAGCTTGGTGTACGCTTACCAGTGCGTCCATGTTGGTGTTGTCATCTTCTTCGTCATCGTCGTCCTCCTCTTCATCTTCTTCGACTCGGAGACCGAGCGGCTTCCACCCCAGGACCTTGCTGCAGACCTTGATCACCTCCTTGTCATTCTCAAACTCGATGCGCTGCCTTGTTGTAAGGTTGACGAAGTTCCACGCCTGCCGGACGTCGTCTTCGGTGATCAGGAGGGACTCGGGCTGCTCCCCTTGGGTCAGGTAAGACGGCTCAAGAACCAGGCTCATCGCCCTGAAGATTGCGGAGATCTGGAGCACCTCGCCCTTGGTTTTCGAGATGATCCCTGCACAAAAAGTGTATGCTTGAAGCTTTGTTTTCTTTCGCTTTCTGAGATCCTGCGCGTCCGCTCCCAGAAGTGCATTCTCCCTGTCCGCTTTACCCTATCGAGATTCGAAAATGGACACAGAAGCCATTCGAAGTGGAACGTAGGCTGCTCACGGGGATTTTTTCAGACGCTAGGTTACATTACCTCCTACTTTGGAGTAGGAAGTCGCGCTTACCAGCCTTGTGCAGCAAGTCTTTGTCATACAGCTGCCGAAGAACTGCCTGAATGCTGTCAAACCCCTGGCCAAACACGTCACGAGCAGCTCCTGTCAGCTTGAAGATGGTCTTGCCCTTGTCCTCGTCCAAGCTGTGCGTCAGCCAGTACAATCGGTACATCAGCTGCACATCACGACACGGATCCTTTCAGCTGCAGGCAGTCATTCGCATCAAAGGAGATAGGGCAAACGAGTTCTATACTTTTGTTGACAAACAAGCCACGTGACGAGAGCGAGGCACTGATACGTTGATACGAGCTTCTAATCGCACCTTCTGCATCAGGTCGTTGTCTTCGTCGACTACTTGTTGCTCATCAGAACCGATGCATAGCTGGCCTGCACGAATTTTCGAACATGCTCAGATTTTCGCACTTACGAAGGATTTTGGAATCTTTCCGATGGATCAAAGCAACGATACCAAAGACAAGTTTGAGAAAACATCTTGGGAGTTTAAACATTCGACACATTGTTTGATCGTCAAACAGGTCGGATTCGAAACTGTCACTCGAGCAACTCACTGAAGTCAGGGAACTCTGGCGGGGGGAACGCCGTCTGGTACCGGTTCATGAGCCCGTCGTTCGGTGTCTTGCTAATCTCTCTGTGCAGGGGCTCAGGCTGCGTGAAGCCGCCGATGCAAACGTGCGTGTACTCGCACGTCTTGCTCTCACACTTATCGTCGACAAGCTCACGGGTCCACGCGCTTCCTCCCTTCAGCTGCAGAGCTCTAACCCGGTCTGAGTTGCCCTTCTTGTAGGCGTCGAGCATCTCGAAGAATTGATGAGCTTATTCGAAGAGGAGCATTCCCGAATGATCACGAGCAGCGAGGAGCATCTGGAACAGGCGTTCGAAGTTAACCTGCAGAAACAGCACGTTTTGTTAAGGAGACGTATGGTAGATAGACATAACGGGATCAAGCTACTTTGCAGTGCTTTCTTGCTGAAGAACTAGTCAAAACTCAGAAGGAATGACGTGGCATACCTCGATCTACGTGCACCTCATAATTTTGATGAGAAATGCAAGCTTTGTATCCCGCCTCTGAATTGTCATCTTCAAAGTCAAATGTTCAGTACGTTTCAAAAGCATGCCTTCAGCAACACGAACTTGCGGAATTATATAGTCGAATGCTGACGGCGATGACGTCACTGCACAGATGACTGCACGCGATCCCTGGCTCCTAGAATGTTAGAGCAATTCAACTATTGAATGTGTACCGCAATGAATGTGATTGATGAATGATCAGACTAGTCAAAGAAAGCATTGAGTCAGCTGTCCTAAACGAAAATGCGGAGAAACGCAACGATGCAACTTATTTAGCGACCAATTTGTATACCGCAATGAATGACTGATGAATAGTAATAATGTTCAAGTGAAACAATCAGGTCTTGAACGAACGATCTGCAGAGAAACATCACGATGCAGTGACTGCCTTGCATGAGATCGAAAGCATTCCATGAGAGCGTTGTGAGCGGGGCTCAAAAGTCCACTCACCGCGCCGTCCATCTTGACTTTCAGAAACTTGATCTCGGACATGAGCTTTTCGAACTCGGAAGAACCTTCTTTGTAAACCTGTCGATCCAGATCCTTAAGAATGTGCTCCATGATCTCGTCATTGATGATTCGCTCGACCACGTCGATGTTCTTGCTGATTTTCTGGTACGCTTGCGATTTCCCAAAGCCACTGGGACCGACGCAAAAGCCCCAGTGGATCAGGTTGCTCTTCCAGTCGACGCCATCAACCTCCACAAGCGCATTCGGTCCCAGGAAGTAGGAAGCGCATGAGGTCATCGGGACCATCAGCATCCAGGCGCTCACACCAATTCTCTTCCCCATTCTGTGAAGCATTTTCAAGACTTCGGGAGGGAACGACGACTTGGCGTTCTCGTCGTCGACGATCAAGCACACAGCGCGACATTGATTGGGGTTGCACCCCTGATCGCCAAAGCTTGACCGTTTCGAAGGCATCTTGTCAACTTCGCTACCGATAGGAAACCTGCTAGCTGCTACCACTGGTGCTGTGAAGCCAATCGCTCACAAATAGCAAAACCGCCTGCTAAAGAGATCAACTCTTCAACACGTGCAGCTGGAATCACTACGGCCCTCAAGCTGAGGAAACCGTGAGGATGGCTGAAAGAAGATAAGGAACCTATGCAAACTGATTACCTAGACCATCAGCTCAAAGTAAAAAACGGCAGAAGAAAGAGCCTACGCTTAATGAAAAGAGGCGCACTTTGAAACCGATCGACCTGCGAACAAGTTGTGAGCTGAACGCAGGTCCCAAAGAATCACTTTTATGGGTATCACGGTGTGACTTACGCAGGTTATCAGAGTATCTGAGACAGCTCAGAGTCCGCAGAGAGCAGTCAGAAAGTCGCTCAAGCTCAGCGCAGCATGCAGCATTCATTGGCTAGGCTCGCGATCCATCAAATTTGAATTCTATTGGCCCACCAAACCCTGGAGGTTTGAGCCCGAACCCAAGGGTGGTTTCGCGCGCCGCGCATAAAGGTTCGGTACCGCGCGCGCGTACGGTGGTTCGGAACCGCGGCCGGGCGGCGGCAGGTGAGGTCGCGCGCGGCGCACGCACGGCCTAAAGTCGTATGGTACATATACATTAAGAAAGCCATAAATTGCAGAGGCGCAGCCAGGGACCGAGGGAGCTGGTCTCTTGCATGAAGAGCAATAAGATTGAGCACGCCTCTTCCATTGAGTTACATGAAGATCTGATTCGTCATTTAAAAGGAAGAGCCTCTGTAGTTCAAAGTAGAATCTTCCTTAGTACCACGTCCATGGAAAAGAGTCAGGGCGCCAACCGCGGAGCAACCCTCAGGGACAAAGTATGCAGATGCAAATAACTGCCACCTCGATCTTTCTATTTGGACGCCATATGCAATTGGGAAAGCAGTCATGGAGCATAATCGATCGAAGATGTCATGCGTCCGTCCGAGCATTCGCGAGGGGATGCGCAAGAATCGCGACCAGCCAATATCAGACATGCCAGGATTTGACCTCCTCAAAGAACGGCTTGTTATGCAACACTTTAAAACTCTAAACGACATGTACCGTTATGCTGACACGTACTTCGATGCGGAAAGTCTCATATTCCTGGCCAGACAAGATCCTGAATATGGCACCTACAACTACTATGCAGTAACGATCGAAGCTCTCTTGAAGAGGTAAGCCTAGAGTTGTTTGCTTCCATTCATTGTTTGATACTGTCGTTCCATATATCAGATTTTTCTGTGCCGACATCTGTCAACGATCTTGATCCGAAGTAATCCATATTCTGCTGCCATTACCAACACGGTTTAGCAAAGTCCTGTCAATCGAAAACTAACGAGAATCAGTGAATGCGCTGACGCAGCTTCGCCGCGAACAAACTCCAGTGGCAGCACACATACGAAATCTTCCGCACGGTGAGTTTCCAAGCTCGGATCCCGTCTATTACAGCTAAAAGCAAAGTTGCTTCCTTCAAGCATCGTTTGTTGGCGTCCAAAGCTTCATCAATGCTCCTACCTGTTCCTGAACCCTGTCCTATCAAACAGGGCCGGCGCGCCAACCTCTTCTATGACTTGGAGTACATGAAGAATCAAAATCCTGGACTCTCGGCAGACGACCTCGTCGACACGATCCTGGCAGTTACAGAAGACGTGTGCAGGGAGGCCTATGGAACGGGCATCTGGAAAGAAAGAGTTGTTGAACTGGATGCATCATACTCAAGTAAGCAATCTTGCGCCATGATAACTTTACAAAAGAAAGTTTTTCACAATCGCGGCAGTCCATTCTCCTTTTTTTGAACGTGCACATCTGGAAAAACCACAGAACCGCTGACGGACAGAATCCTCATCTATAATCAACTGAAACGCCCTATCTCGTTCCGTGCAGCAAAATTCAGCAGGCACCTGATCGTCCCGATCTTCGGACGCTGCTTCTCAAATGTACACGAAGAGATGAAGGACTTCGTGGACAAGGTCAGTTCAATTTGCGACCCGGAAACCGTTTGCTCAACCATTCAACCTGCACACCCCGAAGATTCATTCCGTGCACTTCAATCCACCCGGCTGATCAGACTGAAAGCATTCATTCAACGTTCAGGTCTGCTCGGAAGTTTACCTGCGGGCCGATTCTGGTGACGAAGCCTGCAAGAGACTAATTGTGAATCAGCGACACGCGGCTGAGCGAGCTCTCGTTATAGACCAAGGGGTCTACACAAAGACGCGTCATCTAAGGACAATATTCTCGACGAAGCAGCAGGGGCCAAATATCCCATTTACCCCAACGTGCAGATTCTTCAAGGAGGAGGTAAGATATGCCAAGATGAGACCTACTAGAACCTGAACGCTAGTTGGATCTCAACTAAACAAAGTGATAAGACTGGTGCAAACTGTCTACAGCAGGCAAAAAACTTTTCCATTGATCCCATTCTTCTTGACTCTTACTTGCAGAACATCAAGAAGCAGATTACCTGGTCCCTCGCGTCTCTGGTGCCACTCTCCAGTACGCCGCTTCCTCCCCTTCATCACCGAGAGGTAATCCGCAATCCAGGCTTCAGCAGAGAAACAGTGACTCAGACCTGCAGTGCTCGAAATGGTCATAAATCGGTTCCAGGATTGCACGAATAGAAAGATCCCTCCTGAGATCGACTCCTGAGACGGTAACGCAAACTTGATCTGCTATCCTGCAGAACGCCTCACCTGAAGACGGTCCAGCAGCACCAGTCAAAACGGCTCAATCAGAAAACAGCAAACCGTCAATCTTCATCAAGAGCATGGAGGACTTCTTGACAGCGTTTGTTCGAGAAAACTTCAGGGCCCAAGGTTCGGCCCAAATACTAAGGGTCCACGAAAATCTTTGCATGCTGCTCACCGCTGGTCCTCTTCTCCTCATCGTCGATGTCCAATGGACCTTGCAAAGAGAACCAAAATTGGCGAATTCGCTTCTCGTTCCAAGCAAGCCCGTTGGTCACGCAGGCGCCAAAATCTCCTCACGCATCATAATCAACGAGGGCTTCCTGTCCTACTCGTTCAAGGGCACGAAGTTCTGCTACAATGTCAATAGACACCACACACAAAACAACAGTGAGCCTCACAACCAAATTCTAGTCTCATACCACCTCGACCGTGGCTTAGGGCAGCTTCGAGGTTCGTTATCGCTCACTCGCACCATTGCACGAGTTTCTCTCAAACAAGAGACCAATTGTTGACAAGATCTTCTCCTGCAGTGTACATGGTCGTGGACCTACAGCAAGGGCACTTCTATCAAAAATGCCACGATGACGTATGCCAAGGTGAGGCCAACGACCAGTGCTGCAAGCCAATAGATCAGGCACAAGGCAATGAACTTGCATCTTCGGCTCGCTTCGAGACACATGACAAACCATATCATCTTCCACACTGAGGCTAAACAAACTAACTGCTCTGCAGCGATGAATTTTAAAGGACCCTTTACGAGACTACCAGAAGGTCTGCTGTACGAAGCAAGGGCTGCCGTTTCTCAAGCGGTTACGCAAACGTCTACCAAAAAAAAACGGGCCTGGGGAGAGCTCGAGGACATGAACCCCGATTTCGCAGAAGCCGTAAGTCGTAACGATCCCTCATCATACAACTCAACGCAAAATGATATTCGGTGAATTGCATCAATGACCAAAGGACAATCTGCAACCAAATGCACTCCAAAGCGTTTCTCAAACGGAAGACACTGTACCTAAGAGAAAATCCCTCCCTCTATTCAGGCTATTGAAGTACTCAAAAAATCCGAAGAATCACTCCGCAAACGAGGAAAGGAAGCAGGAGCTACTGAACGCCAGGTGAGAATCAGCGTGACCGTTGTAGTCGTTAGCGTAAGCGACACTCTACTAAAAATCTTCCAGGTCGCAAGCGCCAAGTTACCAAATCTCACGAATGCACTCTGCGTATCTGACAGATACCCAAATCTTGCAGATAAAACCTCCCGAGCTGAGCGTCGAGAAATCAACTTCGTTAAACCCCGGCATCTGCACGCCAAAAACACCAGACGACCTCGTCTTCCCCCTACGACTACCGGTGAGGAATATCCTGTCTGTATCAACTCGAAAAAATGTTTCAAAGCGTAGATCCATGAAAGAGAATGAAAATCCATCAAGGAGAAACCATTGCTTGGAAATTCGCAACTCGAGTTTGCCGTTATGCCTTAAGTACTACGCCCCCAAGCTACGTTTCAGTCCCCCTAATCGTCCGCGTCCTGAATACTTTTGCAGACGACCGCCACGTCACCAGAAGAGAGTCGCAAGCTGTCCGTTGCTACACAAACAGACGAGAGAGTAATTGAAGCAACGAAAACGGGGACGATCGGCGGAGACGCCTCTGAGTGGGGGGGCGACGCGCAGCCGCTCGAGAAGCCCCGGGATGCCCAGGAGACGCCGGGCGGTGACAAAGCTGCAGAGGGGGGCAGCACGCAGCGGCCCCCGGATGCCCCGGGTGAAGCGGGGTCTCAAGCGCAACACGACACGGAACCGATCGGTGCAGAGACCTCGGAATGGGGGGGCGACACCCAGCCCCTCACGCAGCCGTTCCAGCAGACACAGGATGCCCCGGGTGAAGCGAAGAGCGGCGACCCGCGGTCGGGGTCTCAAGCGCAGCACGACACGGAGCCGATCGGCGCAGAAACCTCGGAATGGGGGGGCGACACGCAGCCGCTGGAGCAGCCGTCCCAGCAGCCCCATAATGCCCCGGGTGACGCGGAGAGCGGCGACCCGCGGTCGGGGTCTCAAGAGCAACACGACACGGAGCCGATCGCCGCAGAAACTTGGAATGGGGGGGCGACACGCAGCCGCTGGAGCAGCCGTCCCAGCAGCCCCATGATGCCCCGGGTGAAGTTGAATAACTGCGCGCGAGGTCTGAGCTCAAAAGCCTTTCGCAGAGAGATATTGACATAGGTACAGATATTTCAAATACACAAAAATGAAAGCAATTGCAAACGTTCTCTCTTTGCGATTACTCAATGAGGCATCAGACGCCACTAATCGAACCTTTCGCCAAACGTGCGACGCATGAACGCAGCCGAAAACATGTTTGATGCGCTCGTTTCTCATCTTCCTCATCCTCCTCACTGAAGAGAATGAGGCGGATGAGCATGATGAAACCGAGGGGGTAGAGGCCCCCGGCGGCAAAGCCTGAATGTATGCAATGGAAGGGCGGAAGCATATGCGCTCGTTTCTCATCTTCCTCATTCTCCTCACTGAGAAG